ACCCAGCACAGACCAAGCAAAGAGAAGGAAGGACATGGTGGGAAAGTGCCTAGAATCGCCAGAGAATGGAGACAGTGGGGACAAGGGTATGGACGGGAGTTGGGGGTGGGGCAGAAGGAGTTGGTGAAGGGTATGGACGGGAGTTGGGTGGGGGTGGGAGGGTGGAAGGGGTTGGGGCAGCCAGATTCTGAAGGGTCTCCGATATGCAAAGAAGTTTATTCTGTAGCCAACGAGGGGCCCTAAAAGTCCTGCTCTGAAGAGAAGGGTCTCCGTGAGCCGAACGGCAGTTGTTAAGAAATGACTCTGGTATACTCAACGCATACAGGATACACGGGGACTATCACCCTAGAGACAAACCTGCACAGAGCTGTCTTCAGATCTGGGTGGATGACAGCGTGCAACCTAAAATGGGGCAGAAACAGGGAGAATGGCGAGGAGACAGCAAATTCAGAAGACCAAAAAAAATCTATTCCTTGTACCAATATGACTTCATAATTCCAAAGTTCCAGTTCTGTATCTGTGTGATCCCATCCCTCTGGTCTCAGCAGCGATGTGAGACAGGTGGGGAACGAACCATCGCCCCTATTTGACCATTGCTAAACTGGCAGTGATTTGCTGAGGAGTCCCCAGCTAATACAACGAAGCTGGGAACAGAGCGCAGGGTCAGCACGGAGCTACACTCTTAGACTCTCTATTTTAAAAATTTCATCTAATTATCACCTCAAGACACCTGGCTGTGTTTTTTTCCATGGACTGTTTGTGTGTCTATCTTCTCATCTTCTCCCCCGCCCCTGTGAGGGCGGGATCCGCCCCCAGAACTTCTCTCTATCTCGCTCAGTGCTTTGTATTGATCTCAATAAATACTGAGGGCCAGATAAGATAGCTGAGTCCCAGGAATATTCTCATCTGTGGTTTTCTGACAACAGAGAGGTCAATAGCCAAGGACACACTTTCCCAGTGGTCCGTGGGTATTTCCATTCATCACCAGCCCCAGCGGAGGAACAGCCCCTGCCGTGACTCCTATAGTCTGAGGTGCCTCTTGCCAGCTGCTTTGCTCCCCTGCATTCTAAGTGTGAAGGACCTGTACAAAATGGGCCTGCTCGAAGTCCTATTTAACTTTTCCATGGGTCTGTGTTTGTCAAAGCTTCATGCCAACTCTGTCAGAAAAAGAAATGCCACAAAACTTCTTTTAGGGAAGAGAAAAAAGACCTACTTTATAACTTGCTCTCATGCTAATCACACCACCATTCAAACCCCAGCTGAATAGGAGCCCGACAATAGCCTGGGAAACACACAGAGCCTTCAAGCCAAGTGGAGGCTACTCCACTCAAAATGTTGCATTCCTCTGGCTTTTTAACTTCTTTAGAGAAGACTGATAAGAAGAAGGATTAACGATACAATCTGGAGTTGCGGTCCTACTGCAGAAAAGTCATTCCATCTCTGTACCAAATTGGCAAAGTATTCGCCTGCCGTGCCTTCTGCCTTTTTTTCCTAAGGCTCCACAGAATTGGAGCTGAGATTCTCTTTGACATACTACCAGATTCTGAGAAAACTGAAATGAACTCCAACCTCCTCCTTCCTAGGGTTGTCCTGAAATTCAAGCAAGCTAATAATGCATGTAAAGCCCCTGCCTGCCTGAAGTATTCAGTAAAGTTATGCCCTTCCCCGTTCCAGCCTAGAGGTTTTGAGTCTAATTTCTATCCTGTAGAAATTTACAAAGAAACAGGCAATACTAAAATGGGCAAAAAACTTGAAACCCCAAATCACACCTGAATACTTTACAAGGCCTGATAATTTCATTTCAAAGCTTTTCTGGCTTGCTTGCTTGCTTCCTATGCTTACAACTGAAAACAGTGGTCAATGCAAATTCCAACGCCAGTGTTCACTGTCGGAAAAAAAGAGCATAGGTGCTGGTTGGTTCTTATCCCAGACGCTCCACCATCTTCCAGGGGCAGGATCCCCAAGAAGTCACTCAACCTCTCAGATCGGCAACGGCCTCATCTGTAAAATCAGTCAGAGCAGTGACTCCCCTTCGGGGCTGGACGCAACGGTTGATGAGACACATGAATGAGCCTGACTACAGTGTAGTGGTTCAAAGATGTTTCTCTTCCAGCTGACATTTGGGAATGATATTCTGGGTGAGGTGGCATTAGGCTTTTATTTTGTTGGCTTTTCAGGGCTGGGGAGCTGGAGATCGAGAAGGAGAAAAATCAGTTAAGGCAAGAAAGAATGTATACATTCAAACACTCAGAGGCATACATTTTCATTTGGTGGAACTATCATTGATTAACAATAAATGTTTGGATCTCACAGCTGAGGCCAGCACAACCACAATGTAAGGCAAAATCGTAATTAAAGGTTCCTCGGCTCCATGAATGGCCTTAGGAAAATTAAACCTAAAATCAAGATGGCGTATTTTCCCTTGGGATTGAAAGCCCTCTATTTCGAATGTTTTGACCCAAGAAGTGTATTTTAATTTCCCACCAGCCCCTGGGAATTCTACCCTCATACAACGCCTCCGCAGAGACCTTCGATAGCACTGGTTGACTAGGCTGCGTGAGCCCGTCACCCCTCCGGTCCTGTCACTGGAGCCAGCTTCTCCACACAGATGTAAGTGAGACGCCCACTAACCAAAAGACGCCAGTAAATTGGTAACACCTTTGGAAATATTTTAAAACCCTCGGCTGGCTGGACGTTCTTCCCTGCAATCACAGTATGTGTAGCTGCTTCAAAAGAAGACACGATGCATTTAATCAAAACGTCTGTTCAGGCCAAGACGACAGCAGGACAAATGCAATGATGAGAAATCATGTATTAGGCCCTTGCTCCCTAGAAACCTACAGAGGCCAAACTGACCAAAACAGCTACTCTGGGCAAGTGTCTAATGAACTCCACTGTGTGGCTGAGAGGCATTTCTGCCACTTCCTGTCAGTGGTGGCTAACTTTACAACAATGTGGGTCATTTGTGGGGAAGAGGCTACGGGTAGAAGTTCTATTTACTGCATTTAATGAAGGCATCGCGTCCGCAGCCACTAAACAGAAACGCTCAAAATTTCTCAGCACCACCCAAAGGTTACACCAAACCACAAGGACAGCAGATAGGGCTCCTGGTGCAAAAAGGTCACCAACAGAGCGAACCACGACTGCTGCCTGACGTGGGTGAGGAGGCCAAGTTCACGTCCCTCGGCCCTTTAGGAAGCCTTTACAGATCCAGCAGTCTTCTTCTCCTCTAAATTCACAGAGCTGCTTGTCCATTCTAGAATGCCCAACGTTTTCGCAACCAAAGATCCCTCGCAGTTCCTTCTGGACCCTCTGTGACATCTGGAAGACAGCTTTATTTACCAAGTAAACTATATTTTAAGTCATTTCTCCACTTTTGTTAATCAAAGCGTAGAAAGTGTCCGTCTCATCTCCTGCTTAGTGAAAATAACCAGTAAGACCAGAGGGAACTGACAGGAGTCATCCGACATTCACGTCCTAAGTGCAGGACGATGATGCTCTGACCAGTCGAGGCAGAGGCTGATGCTCTGAGTTATCCTCGGCAAGTTAACCACTGGTCGATGTACAGCACGCCTAGATATTTTTGAAATACTGAAAATAGCATTAGCTGCCTCATGATTGCCTTAATAGACTTTTACGGGCCCAGAGAACCCAGGGTGAGAATCACAAGTCTAACTCATTTTGAACAATTCATGGCCTGTTGCTGATGTGAAAGCCAGCATGAAGTAGTGGGGGAAAGCCTGGGCTTCAGAAACAGCTGGAAAACAAAAGCAGTGTAGCCTAGTGGTTAAGAATAGCCTCAAGAGACACACTTCGGGGGCTGGCCCGGTGGCGCAGCAGTTACGTGCGCACATTCCACTTCTCAGCAGCCCAGGGTTTGCCGGTTTGGATCCCGGGTGCGGAGACGGCACGGCTTGGCAAGCCATGTTGTGCTAGGCGTCCCACATATAAAGTAGAGGAAGATGGGCATGGATGTTAGCTCAGGGTCAATCTTCCTCAGCAAAAAGAGGAGGATTGGCAGTAGTTAGCTCAGGGCTACTCTTCCTCAAAAAAAAAAAAGAAAAAAGAGACAGACTTCGTCAACTCTCAAACTCACTTGCTGCATAACCTTTGGGTAAGCTATTTTTAACCTCTCTGAATGTAAGAACAAAGTGACACTATGGTGGTTTCATGAATGTGTTAATTCGAAAGGTCTTTGGTAAAATTTTTGTATTCTTTTCTTATACATTTTAATTAATCTTAAGATATTTCTAAAATGGTACAGCCACTATAGAAAATAGTTTGGTAGTTCCTCAAAAAGCTAAACATAGAGTTACCATATAATCCAGAACTTCCACTCCTGGGTATATATACCCAAGGGAATTGAAAACTATATCCACACAAAAATCTGTTTGTGAATGTCCATGGCAGTATTATTCACAGTAGCCAAACAGCAGAAATAACCCAGAAGTCCACTGACTAATAAATGTATAAGCTACATGTGGTACGTCCATACAATGAAATATTATCTGGCAATAAAGTAAATGAATTACTGGTACATGCTGAACACACATGATACAATATGGATGAACCCTGAAAACATTATGCTGAGTGAAAGAAGCCAGTCACAAAAGACCACATATTATAACATTCCACTTACATAAAATGTCTAGAAGAGGCAAAATCTACAGAGACAGAAAATTGACGAATGGTTGCCACGGGCTGGCAGGGGGAGGAGTGTAAATGGGGAGTGACTGCCTTCAGGTACACGTTTCTTTTTGCAGTGATGAAAATGTCCTAAAATTGACCGTGGTGATGCTTGCCCAACTCTGTGGATATTCTAAAAGCCAGTGAATTGTACATTTTAAATGGATGAACTGAATGGTGCATGAATTATATCTCAACAAAAGTGTTTTAAAAATACCATTACAACCCAAGAAAAACTGTTTCTCTAAACCACAAGGATTTCCAACGGCCTATTTATTTTAAGAGGCATATGAGAGCCTAAAAAATTCCAGAGCGAAAAAAGGGGTAACTCATCCGTCTAATAAGGCTACGAACGTGAAGACGCATATACTAATCCTGTAACAGATTTCCTAAGTCTTCTAGAAACCCTGCATTTAAAGGGTTTGTGGAGGGAGTGGCATCACCCCAGTTCAGAGGTTCCCAGCCAGGAGATCAAGAACTACCTGTAATCTCTTTCTTCTCCATCCTTCTCTTTTCTGTCCCCCTGCTTAGGTCCAGCTCTCACCTGCCTCCCATTGGTCTCTCTCCTCAGCCTCCGATTTCCCTCCCCTCAAACCCAGCAATCTCAAACACGAATCAGGTTAGATTAACCCTCTCTGAAAAACTGTTCACAAATATGTTAATTCCAAACCTTGTCTGTAAAACTTTTGTAATTTTTTTTCCTTACATATTTCAGCTAATCTTACGATATTTCTAAAATGGTGCAGCCGCTATGGAAAAACAATTTGGCAGCTCTTCAAAAAGTTAAACACGGAGTTACCATATGACCCAACAATTCCACTCCTAGGTATATACTGTGTTTGGTTTCTATATGACATTTTCCATAATAAAAAGAAAAACGAAAACAAAAATAAAACTTCATCTGCCCTGCCGGTCCTCCAAAATAAAGTTCAGGTTCCTTAACCGCCTGCCATTTATAGCCCCCTTTGGAATCTGGCTCCAGCCCATCTCTTCCAGCCTCACCTCCAACGTCCTCTTTCCCCGACACGATGCAAATACACAATCCTTCACACTCCAGCCTCCAACTACTCACCCTTCCCAAATATGCTGGGTGTCCCCCGGCTCAGCACCTGTTGCTTCCTCTGCCACAATTCCCTCGCCCCCTTCATGGCACGTGAGCTACTGTCTCTCCTGTAAGGCCCAGCTCCATGCCCTCCAGCAAACTCCATCTCTCTCCGCTGCACTGCCGCAGGCCCTCCCTAACCACCCCGAAGTGCCCAGCACCCAGCGAGTGTCATTGTGCACGTCTGTTTCCCATTCACCAGCCTGGGAATTCTTAAAGGGCAAGGAACCCCAGGGGCCTAGCGCGTAGTAGGTGCTCAAGAAACAGAGACTTAATTAAACAGGCTTTCTAGAAATTATACTGATTGATACCGCAAACTAATTTGGGGGCTAGCTAGGAAGAAACCATCAATGAGAAGGGCTTCCTTCGGTCAATATAATCATGTGCACTCTGTGCTTTAGGGGTACATAAACAGGAACCAAAGCACACTGCTTATTATGACAAGGCGCTTACACTGATTTGCATTTCTCTGCAAAACTCTCTAGGCATATAATTTTGTTAATTTGTGACAAACCTCAACATCACACTTACCACCAAAACTCTGATTGCAATGTATGCTTTCAAAGCACACAGACATCAACAAGTTCCTTTTGAAAGCTTCCAATTGGATCTTACGTGTGTTGTTTGGTTTGGTTTGGTTTGAATTTGGGCATTTTAATGCAGATCATAATTTATAATTTAACCTGGACCTGAGGGAGGAACAGTTCTACAAGATGTTCGAGAACCTGACCCAGCCTGCTTTTGAACGCTGGCACTGCCAATTAATGCACAACTCTGAGAAAGGTATCTAATCTGAGACTCAGTTTCCCCTCAGTCAAATGAGAATAATGTCCACCTCGAGAGGCTTTTAAAAAGCAAAAAGTCGGAAAATGTGGGCTCCCTTTCTTCTCTCCGGGGATGCATCATTTGAAAAAGATGGCGCCTGTTCAAGTTCAAATCAGTCAGCAGTGATCTTTGGTAATAAGCACTTTCTAGAACAAGTTTGAAGAAAAGTGATATATCAAAAAACTGCCGAGGCCTTCAAATTTGCCCCATGGATCTCTGGCCTCACTCCACTATCATCCACTGGTTTGGATTAAAAGTTAAACCTGTTTGTCTTGTTCCTCTTTTAATTGACACAGGCAAAAGAGAGAAGAGAGGCCAGCTCTGAAGAACTACCTCATGAGTGATATCACATTTCAAACCGACAAGTAAACACCAGAAAAGCAAAATGGTATAAAGACAGACCTCGGTTCTCGGCCCTGCTCTTTCACTAACACCGGACAAGGACCCACCCAGGCCTCAGGGTCCTCACATGAGAGTCAAGGGCACTGACCAGGACATGGTGACAATGACGACAGCAGCTACCACCTGTTGGTGTCCAGTGCCACACACTGTACCAGGCATAGCCTTGCAACTTATCTCATCTTACAAACAAGAAAACTGAGGGCTCGGAGACATTCAGTAACTCGCCTAAGCGTACAGCTACTCAGAGCAAGCAAGCTTCCCTCCATCCGACCCGCAGGCCTCGCTCCTCCCACACATCCCCCGCCCCTGTTCAAAGGGGCCTGTTTTTCTGACTGAGACAAAAAATGACCTTGGTATTGCTGATAATGAAATCTCCAAGGTACTTTCCAACTCTAAAGATTCCATGAATCTAGGCAATGAAGAATCTTGCCAACGGCGTTTTCTCCATTATGCCCAGACAGGCTCATCCAGGACACTCTAAGCTGTCTGGCAATTACTTATCTATCCCTCTGTCTCCTCCTCTGCCCAAGACGATCCTTGAGTTAAGACTCATATTTGCATCCTATGTTGGACCCTGCAGAACATATTGTACATATTTGGACTCAATAAAACTGAAATAAATGAAATGGAATAAAATAGAAACAAACAAGCATTAATTACATTGAAAAGTGGGCGGCAAGGGAAGCGGACAAGAGCCCTGGAAGATTATGACTACTTACCAGCTGGGCACCCTTGTGCCAGCTACTTCACTTCTCTGAGCTGCGGTTTCCCCATCTCTAACAGGAATCTAACATCTACACCACATGGCTGGCCTGAACAATAAACACGGTCACTGGCACAGTCACTCCTTTCCTCAGGAAACATTAAGAGTGCCCTGGATGACGAGCATTTTGGTCATTTTCCATCCTGGCTCTTGTTTTTAGTTAGATTTTCCCCTGGGCTGTCAGAAGACACAGATAAGAGGTGACCCTACATCAGACCATTTGTCCAGACTCCCTCCTACCCTCTAGGCTATGCTGTCTTTCTCTTAAGATGATGTGGCCATGTCCCTTTCCAAGGGGAAGAATGCCACCCCCAAAGGCTGAGGAGGTTCCCGCACTGGGACTGTCCAGACAGGCTTGGAAACCTGGCCCTGCTGGTTTGTTCTCGGGATCCCTTCACAATTTCTTCTCCTAATATATTTCAGGCAACTTTGCTGCCCCCAAAAAAAGGACTCCATAGAACCCTTGAGGAGTGAGGACACAGGAAGGATAGAAAATACTATTACCACAAATAACAATAGCAACACAACACTTGCTAAGACAGGGCTCCTTAACTCCCACAGTGCTTTCAGACTGGTGATGCCACCTGAGCTTCCCTGTACCAGGCTGTCACTAGGTCCGTCTGCTTCTTTAACATGCGAGGAAATGGAAGCCTGGCAAGGTGGAGTGATTTTGCCCAAGTCACACCTACAGGTGACTTTATGTCAGGATTCAAACCCAGAGCTGGGTGCCTCCGAAGCTTGTATGGTTTCTCTAATACTTTGCCAAGCTCACTTTGATCTTTGAAAGGCTCTATTCAGGAATCTAATTTATTCCTTTCATTTTTCACTCATACAAAAACTTCAATATCTCAAAAGAAAATATTTATACCTCATTTATCCAAAGTAGTCACTTGGCTGGCAACTTGCACTCCACACTCAGTTTAGAACCCAGAAAGAAATAAAAATCCCAGCCTCCACCCATGGGGAGACACCACCACTCCTCGCCCTCAGGGCACAGGCCGGCACCCAGAGGTAAGTTCTCCTTTTGAGAGAATTCTAACAAGCTTGATTATCGATACTGAAAAAGACAGGTGCACCAGCCAAAAACGAAAAAAGGTACAGAAACCTAACATTGTGGAAAGTGCCAGAACATTCAGTCCAGGGACAAAAACTCACAATATAATCAACTGCCCTTAAGACATTAGCTGTTAAACAACATAGTGATTCTCAAATTGGCCTGATAAGAATCACTAGAAGCTTTTATAAAATACAGAATCCCGGGCCCTGGCCCAAAGCCTACTGAATCTCAATCTCCCGGGAAGGAGCCTGGGAATCTGTATTTCATACCAGATAGGTCTCCTTACTAGGTGAGTTCGTGAGATACTGACATAGTGGGCATCCTCAAAATAAGTTACTTCTCCTCAAATAATGTGTACCGGATTGAACCGACACAGAGGGTAGGGTTTCTTAATAAATATAACTGCCTACACAGTGAAGAAGCCCTGGACTATGGTCTCATTAACATCATGCTGTGACCAACTGGGCTTGCCAGCCCAAACACTGAACAGGAAGAGGGAAAGAATCCAAAATTGACAGGAAATCAAAAGGCTAAAAGTGGAAAAGGCCACCAACTCTGGCTTTAGCCGTCTCCCACAGAAGCAGCTGTACCCCATGGTATAACTCTTAAGTATAAGAGAAAGTTAGGGAAGAAACAGCTAAGAGCTAAGGGGAAAAAACAATGAGGAAATAGAGGTTTTCAACCACCCTGGACAAGTCAGCAGGGCTTCCCCACTAAACGGAGGTCCCCTTCTTTATTTCAGTCCACGCAGGACACTGGCTAGGGGGTTCACCAGTTGATTAATGAAAACCTGCTTCTATATTCTGTGGTTCACATAGTAAATTAAGTTATCAAAACCTACTGAGTTATTAAAAACACATACTTAGTGAACATAGTCAAGCAACAAAAAGAAAAGTCACCTGTTGTGCTTGCTGACTTGTTTGCTTGTGATTATTACAAATTTCAGGAAGCAATGTGAAAATAAACATCACGGACGGAAAGTCTAGTCAATCTGGCAGCATACTGGACTAACCAGTAAAAGACGGTGCTTCCTTCCCCGCAGAATGAACACCAGTATAAGCTAATTGCATTGTCAGCATTAATTCTTTGGTAAAAAAAAAAAAAAAAAGGAACAAATCAATTGCTGACAAACCGTCTAAAAGAAGCAATGACTGGGTTTCTGCATCACAGTATCTATCAGCACAGACTCATAAAATTCACAGAGCTAGAAGGGGTCCGAGAGATGACCAAGCCCCTTCCATTTGTTGCGATAATAAAGAAACCAAGGCCCAGAAAAGTCAAGTTAATTTTCCTAAAGTCACACAGCAACGAAGCAGCAGTACAAGACCAGAACTCATGTTTCCAGGCTCGTTGTTGTGAGGACTTACTCAGCTAATAATGTACAATGAAGAGCTAAAGGGAATGCATGCATGAGGTAGACATTCAACATACGTGTCATTTCTCTCTACTAGCAATCGGTTACAGAATGTTGCACGGCAGCCTTAGACATCAGACATAAGCCCAGTCAACCAGTCATTTTACTGATGGGAAAAACTGAGACCCACAGAAAACCAACTTGTCCACAACCACGCAACTAGATGGTGGCACTGGGCAACCTGGAAGCTGGCTCCAAGTCTTCATTCTCTTCACGCCACCACACTGCCTCCCTCTCACTATAAAAACTGAATAACACATAATAACACTTGATGATTTCACGTGTCCCATATATCAAACCAGTTCTACAATTTTATCTCGACCATTTAATTCTAAATCAAGAAATGTCCAAAAATATCTGGAACCACTAAATTAGAGAGCATGGTTGCTAACCATCCAAATTCTACATTATTACCTATTTGAGCTTCTTTCCTTCTGCCTCATGGTACTCTACCCACTGACTTTGTTCCCTGGTGGGGCATGCACAAGAGTCAGGCCTTTCAAACCAAACCTGACCACCACCTGCTTCCTTAAAGGTCTCCCACCCCTCCCATAACTTCAGCTCACCTACCTTCCAGAATCAAAAGCCAAATGAGGAACACTCTTTCTGAACAAAAAACCTTTTCTAAACAGGGCTCTGGGTATTCTGTAAGGATAAGATGGCTTAAGAATTCTGTGAAAGTTTAGGAGCTGCCTTCCCAGCTAAAGTTTAGATCAACGATGAAGGAAAATCATCTGTCTACAACTTACTGGGCAAATGTAACATTCTCCTATTTAAGTGAGTTCTTCATGGTCTCATCTACCTATGATTCTGAGACACATATACGAATACAACCAAAAACCTTAACCTGGACCTCCAGATTATAAATCCCTTGCATTTGCCCAAGTCTTGAGAGATGACAAATAACTTTCACATCCAATATTCCTTCTGCTCCTCATAGAAATGTAATGGAGTGGTCATTCTGATTAGCATTTTGCAGATGAGCTAACTGAGCTCAGAGGATGAGGGGCCTTGAACAAAGTCCACAGAACAAAAAGCTAGACCTGTCCAAAACTGCCTACCCATCAAAGTGCATCAACCATCAAAGGGTTGGTAGGAGACACTCAATAACTATCTGGGGAGGTGGACAGGGAGGAGCGAAGGTAGGGGAATCGATGGGTTTACCAAACCTCTGCATTTGTGCCACACCACGTACTGCTGTGTGTTCCTTCTCTGGAACCACCCTCTCATGGGGTCAAAAGGCACCCTCAAAACCTGGGAAGTACTTGGTGCTAGAGCACCCAAATCAAACCAATGCCATGGAGCAACGGGACCATATCACCAACCAGAAGAGCTGAACCTGCTCTGCTTTGGCGCAAACGGGTAACTGGGAAATGTGGAGGCGGGACTGCCTGCAAAGCGAGCTTCAGGATTTTCTGCTGAGAATCTGAGTTTCAGGATTCTTCAGATGAGGAAACGAAAAGGGGATGGACTCCAGTCATGCTCACTGAGAATTAAGGATCAACTCAAACAGACTTCAACGTGAATCTCAGGTTTCTCATCTATAAAATGGAGATAATCTTTCATAAGGGTTACAGCAAAGAGCACATAAACTAATTTACATAAAAAAGAGGTTAACAGGGCTTAGAAAGCCAGTAGGTGATCCTCCAGTCTCGCCTAGGAATATCCTCTGCTGCTCTCATGCAACCTCGTACACCAGAAGCAACGCACAAGAAACAGGAGGCAGTACATATTTTTACATATTGAAAGAAAAACAAAATCAGTGTCAGAAAAATTGCCACGCAAAGATTCATAACAGTATCTAGAAAAGCAATTAGTCAGCAGATAGCTGGTAAACAGGAGGTAAGCCCCCACTGGTATTCTCTGACACCAGATTCTTTTTGCCTTCAAACATGAATGGACTTTCAGTTTTTTCACCAATAATTTAATATGCCAAAAAGATATGTGAAACAAGTTAAGCTGCTTGTACATTTCCACTTACATAACACTTGTAGAGGACATGAGCTTTTGTGTTTTTCCAGATACAAGGAGATGAATCTTGGTGTATATTCCTCTGTGAGACAATAAACACAAAACTGTGTCCTTCTTTTTAATATATTAGTGCTCTGTAATCCAGACCATATGATCAATAAACTATATAAAAATTAAAACATACTGACAGTCTTAGGCAAAGAGTGAGCCAAGTAGAAACAATTTTTTAGGACTGTGGTGTGTGTGGAATATTAAAATCACATGTTGTGTTATTAGTTTTCTTTAGCCAGAGTTCTCCTGCATAAATTTCTCATGTAAATATTTACCTTACAGCGTTCCCTTTAAAGGTGGCAGAGAGGCATTAAACCAGCGACACTGTAGTTTGGCCTATACATAGGGAGACACGGATAATAAGTCACTTTGAAGATGACTTGGTTGACATGGTTCTAATGTCAAGGCACATACCCTTAAAATGAAAAGCTATGTGCTTCTTATAGTGACATACAGGGGCTGGCCCCGTGGCCGAGTGGTTAAGTTCGCGCACTCTGCTTCAGCGGCCCAGGGTTTCACTGGTTTGGATCCTAAGCACAGACACGGCACCGCTCATCAGGCCACACTAAGGCGGTGTCCCACATAGCACAACCACAGGGACCTACAACTAGAATATACAACTATGTTCTGGGGGCCTTTGGGGAGAAGAAAAAGAAAAAGATTGGCAACAGATGTTAGTTCAGGGCCAATCTTTAAAAAAAGAAAAAAGAAACAAATAAAGAAATACAAGGTCCTGTTATCTTACCACCTTTTTGAAGTAAACAGAATCACTTATTCAAACAGACCAACAGGGAGTAAACATAATAAACGGCAAGGGTTAGAGTATCAGCTTTGGGGGGACCCAGAGAGAGTTGCAGCAGATGAAGAACTGACGTGCAAACGCACACCTCACTTCCACCTTCAGCGCACACCTTCAGTGTATTTTGGGGCTTCTGTGTCCTGGCTACGCTAAAGCTGATAGGTGGGTCTTTGTGCAAATTCCTTCACACCTAGTTTTCCCTTAACAAAAATGCAGCATCTCTTGGGACTGCCTTCTGAAGCCAGGAGTGGAAGGGAGGCAGAGCACAGTGAAACCCTACAAGGGCTGTCAAGCGTGTTCTAGCTCTGCTTTCCCGATCAGAGTAGGAGGTGGGAGGGCACACTGCCCCAGTCTAGAAAGAGTTTGCTCCACTACCAGCTAAACCCGCAGCCAACGCTGGGCAGCCCCAGGCAACTTCACAGCAAACTGCTTCAATGTGTTTAGTGTTTCCTTGTACTCCCCTAGGACCAGGCAGGGTCTTTAAAAAATTCAATAGCTTGGCAGTGAAACTTTAAGTATTAATCTTCCCACTGTGCATGATAAGAAGCCAGCCGCCTTCAGGAAGGTAGGCCCCCCAGTGACAATTCCTTCACATAGCATCTTAACGCGGGATGAAACGAAGAGGGGGGAATGGGATGTGTCACCTGAACCACACTCACTTTCCTCCCCTTCCACAGAGCACAATTTTACTGTCAGCTGTCTCTTCTTACCTAAGGGGCCATTCTTATTTTTAATCTCTAAGAGTCCCGTCCTTCTTCGACTCTGAGAATTCACGGTGGACAGTCAAGCCAAAGACAGAGGGACCTCAGTGAGGATCCTGCTACAGCAAGAGTCAGGAACCCAGGGAAGCATAACTCCAGCCCCAGCTCTGGTCTGCACAATCTGCACGGATGAATCCATTTCAAAGGGGACTTCAGTCTCCGGGCAGGAGTTCTATTTTAAGGGAAGTGAATTGGGAACACAGATGTTTCTTCAGTTAGCGGAGTTGGCAGAACTGCTCCTGGACCAAATCCGAGTTCTTAATGCAGGAAGGGGCCTTGGAGAGCATCTAGATCAACCCACTCACTCAACCGATGAGGAAACTGAGGCCGATGGGGTAGTTAGGTGGCACACCCAGCAAGTGGCAGGGTGGCAGTGTTCTGACGACAAGTCCTGTGCGCTTTCCATTACACCATGATTCGCTTAAAAAAAAAAAAATTCTCCGCTGACTTCAACCTTGGAACTCCTGCGGATCCATGTCAATAGGTTTCTCCCTCCTCCCGCCGAGTTCATAAATCCTCCTTACTCTCCCACTCCAATTCCTTTAACTCCCACCGCTCTTCTGGCTGTGGCTTCCAACTAGTTTGGAAAACAGCAGTGGACTGTCGCCTCAGCGTTCTGGGAGTGCAATTAATTGTCGTCCCAAAACCTGACCGTGGCTTGCTTTCCCAGTGCCTCAGTTTCCTCCTCAGTAAAACGGGGCTCCTCACCCGGAGTGCAACGAGTCAGGGAGAGGAGCTGGTTAAAACGGATGCCTGAGACCGCCCTCCACCTGGCACACAGTAGGCGCCTAAGAAATGACTGCTGAATCGGTACCCCATATCCAGGCCCTAGAGAACACCTTCAGTCCCGGGGGCGGGGTAGGGGGGGGTGGGGGGTCGGGAGCGAAGCAACTGGAAAGGCCAGCTTGCAAGTGTGGCCGGGCCGCGGCGGTAACAGCGGAAGGGCTGGATGTTTACGCGCGGCCGGGGGAAAGCTGCGCGCCCCGAGCGGGAGCCAGCGCTCCAGGAGACGCGTTGTACTCGGAGGGAGGGCAAGCAGCTCTCCGCCGGCCGTGGGTCACGGTTCGACCGCCTTCCCCTGCTGGAAAGGACGAACCCACACCTTCCGTGGGGTTCTGCCCGGCCTTGCGACCGGAGATGGCTCTAAAGGAGCCTGTTTCCAGGGGCCCGCGAAAGCCTGCGCGCGCCGGGACGCTCAGCCGCGGGCCGGGGGCCGGGGGCCGGGGGTCGGGTCCGGGGGCCGGGGATCCGGGGATCCGGGGCCGGGGCCGGGGCGGCGCGGAGGCCCGAGCGGGCCGGGGCTGCGGGCGCACAGCGCTGCGCGCTGCGGGGGGCCGCGGCCGGACGGCGGCCCCGCGCGGGCCCAGGGGCCGGGGCCGGCGGGCGGGCTCACCCATGAAGAGGCAGAAGAGGTCGAGGCAGACGAGCAGCGCCCGCTTGCTGCCGCCCCTCCTCGGGCTGCTGCTGAGCGCCGGGCTGCCGCCGTTCTTGCTGTCCGGGGCGATCGCCTTGTCGTACTTGTAGTTCTGCATGGCGCTGGCTGCGGCGCGAGCTTCCCGCCCCGCGACGGCGCCCCGCACACCCGGGCGCCCGCGTCGCCTCCCGGCCGGCGCTGCTCGGGACGGTGGCGGGCGGCCCGGCCCGCGCGCGGCGGCGAGTGCAGCCCCGCCGCCCGCTTCCGACCGCAGGCGGGGGCGTCTGCTGCCCGGGTGCTCCGCGCTTTCCTCTCAACCCAGATCGTTCGAAAGTCCACGGGGGGAGAGAGCCAGGTCCCAAGCAGAAGCTTCGCCGAGCGGGGGCGGCGGGGGGGCGGCTGCGCGGCCACCTCCTCGGCGGCCGGCCCCTTAATGAATGGGAGCCCGGGAGCCCGGCCGCTGCGGAGCCTGCCCCGCGCCGACTTCTCCTCCTGCCGCCGCGGCTGCTGCTGTGATCGCCGGGGTTTGTTTTCTGCGCTTCTATTTCACGAGGTCCTTTAAAACAGAGAGAGAGGGAGAGGGAAAGAGAGGGACCTCCTCACTTGGCTCTGGAGGGACTCCGAAAGCACAGCCCCTTCCTGAAGTTGCCTGAAACGTAGGATTAATTAAGGCCACATTTTCCCCCACCCCCTTCCAAAAAAAAAAAAAAATCCTAAAAGGAAAAGTTACTCTCAAACCAGAGAGGCCGGGAGCCCCTAGCGTTCAGAAACACCAAATTGTCACAAAAGGAAAAAATATATAAAGGAAAAGAAACAATTTCTTGCCGGCCTTGGGTCAGGCAAAAGTTAAGTCTGTACAGCTAAAATGGGTTTCTCCTCCCTTCCAGATTTGGGGCTTTTAAGTCTTTATTTTGATTTGAATTGTATTATCCTGAAAATACTCAAGGAAAATTGCCTTCGGTTTGCTTAAGATCTTAACAGACAGGGCCGGCTACTAGATTCTGAGGATGTGAACGTGAAAAAGACTCCACGACTCTGGAGCTAGACCTCGTGCCTTTGAATCCTGGATGTGGCTCTGTGCCTCAGTTTCCCCATATGTAAACTGGAGATAATAAATTTCTCCCAAATAGAGTAACTGTGAAGATTTAGCTAGTTTACGTATAAGCGCCTAGAACAGTGCCAGGTACACAGGAAGCGTCATGTAAGGGTCAGCCGTTACCTTTCCTCCTGTTTTCGGGGTGAAGGCGTCTCAAGCCCTCCGAGCGCCTGCCGTTCGGCTGGCCTCGAGCCGGCACCTCGGCTGTGGGGAGCTCTGGGGCCGCGGAGCCTCTCTGGAGGTGTCACATCTGTAGCTTGAGCTTCAGGGCAATCTAACACTGTGCCTTAGAGGCTGTCATATTATTTTTAATTGTTTGATGTGAGTTAATCTTTCTTCCAGATAGAATATAAACATTTCCAGGGCAAGCACCTTCCCTGGTATCTGTGGCAGTGTCTAGCAGAGAGTGGAGCACGCATGGACAACAAATGGACATTTCTTCCAAACGTCTGTCTGTACATCCAGAAATAGAAATAGTTGTGGCTTTGTGATACTTTTTGTTGATTATGTCCTTTTTTGACGCTGACTTGTCATGGGGGTCAGTAACCCTATATCCAACCACCGTCAGCCACTCGCCCTTTCTGGAACAGTCCTTTCACACTCCAGACCCCTGCCCTCCTACTCCCTCTGCCTGTAAGGCACATCACCCCTTCTCTAGTTAACAGAAGGCTTCTTTTGCTTTAGGGTGCTCTGAAATCTCACCTTCCATCTGAGCCCTTTCTCGACTCCCAGGCAGAATTTAACTTCACCTTCAACACTTTGTATATAGCACTCTTGTAGCACTCAGCGCAGTCTGATTTGATGTCATAGTTAGTGAAGACTAGTCGCTCTACGGATTATCAGCTCCTGAGCATCTCCCCAGTGCCTAGCACAGGGTTTGGTGTCAGCTGAATTAAGCTCAAGTCCAGCCTGGATAACAACAAGTGAAGCTGGAAAGAAGGGCAAGAGTCACTGACTCTCTAAGATAGTTTTGGAGCTGGGGCATGTAGCAGCCCGTAGTCAGACACAGGCCTCTCAGTTCAAATAGCAGCAAGTAAAAGCCTGGGTAACTGAGAGAACAGATTCCTCAGACAGCTTTTCAGTGAGAAACACCTTCTCTTGAAATGTTAAAATGGCAGAAACAATACAAGCTATTTCATGATTATTTCACGATTATTGACATTCTAAGAGGAATTCCGGGATTCCAGTTTCTTTCTTTTGCCCACTCCACCCTCATTGTAATTATAATCATCCTTGAAGTTCGAAGTCACCCAACCCTATCTTTGGAATTCCAAGCTAAAAGCAAGGGCAAGCCTTCCTCACGCTGGAGCCTGCCCTGGTCTTTCCCTCCTCGGAGCCCCGAAGTCTTGGGCGTCTGTGCCTCTCAGGTGGCCACTTCTATTCCACTGTCTGCTACTCCGTTCTACTATTTGAATTTTATAGTTACTTCCCTTTACATGTCCTGTCTGCTTTTCCTTATCTGTGAAGTGACTTTTTTAAATTTAAGAATAAACATTTTCAAAATCCAGACTTTTCCTGTGGTTAAATGGTATTGTAACTCAGCAATCATTGTTGGTCCCTATAAAGTTCTTGGGGAATATTATTAACATTAGTAGGCTGGAATACTAGGAATCTATTTTGCTTTAAGGTTCTCTGGATTAAACTCAACTACTTATTAAGAAAGATAAAAATCTGTTATTCCAGGACCGAATAAAGGGAAAATGAATGAATGTTAAGTAAAAGTTTCTATTTCCATTTACAAGGTTCTGTGGGCTGTTTGTTTCATAGTGAGGAGATCCCAGTGTTAATTGATGGGTGTGTTGTTGCAAACAGTCTTATATGTGGATAATTCTTCTCGGGAGCAGAACACTACAGATACTCATTAAAATTGACTTGAACAAGTCATAAATATGTCAATATCATTCTTTAGACAACAGGAAATAAAACAGCCTACCCAGACACATAAATTTGAAGGCCTCTTTGCTTTAAACTCTAAAACTGAACAATCTAACTAGCAAGTAAAATGCAATACAACAGACGTGATAGTTTAGAATGGTGTCATTTCAAAGTCATTAAGTAATTAAAATTCCTGGTAAACATAGCTTACCAAAATTCACACCTGAAAAGGACACCCAGCTCACTAAACTAGCTTGTATAAAACCTGTAACATCCACGGGGATGAATGCTGTTTTAAGATTAACTTATTATGTGTGGCAACAGCAGCACATCGCTCTAAATAACTGATCCCTCCCAAGAGGTGTAAATGGCCTTCATTTCTGAGATCTCGTCACCTCATAATTTTATTTCTCTCTCTTTTTAACCCCTAACATTCAATAATTAATCATTTTTTCTATTTTGAAAAGGCATGAATTGACTCTGGAAATATTTAAGGGAGAGGTAAATGAGTTCCTTTACGTAAAAGGGTATAATCCAAAGGTCAGAGCCCGAATTTCTCAAACCACTGAAATTCACTTAAGAAGACAGAGAAATTTTGGCTACAAAGTGCCCATTTATCCAGGTTCTTTAATACTGTTACATTCCGCCGGGGGTTTTTACTAAACAAAAATTGCTGGCTTGCGTGTAACTGTTGGATTCCAGGTCGTGAGTGCCCCCCGCAGGACGGAAGAGAGCCTCCACACTAACACTCCCGAGCAAAGGCGGGAAGAAGCAGGGGATCTGAGATCCCGCTGTCTTGCATTTGCTGTTTGAGGCAAGCTGAGCAACTACTCTGAATCTCAGTTTCCCCAACTTTTAAATGGGGCTAACATTTTTCTCCAGTTCTGGGGACTAAAACATTAAAAATGAAATAATACATTTTAATATACCTGGTACACACTACGCAGTTGACAAATGTTAGTTGAATGTTGGTATTTTAAATGATGCTGTATTTCTACAACACACGTAATTTAAATACAGAGAGTCAAACAGCTTTTATTGAGTACTATGAATATACCATTTAATTTTATTCATCCTTCTCTAAATGCAATAACACCTTTGGCCATTCTTTCCTATCTTTTTTTTAATTGTGCAATTTCTTGAAATTTCTGAAAGTAGTAATCAAACATCCTTATTTTTTCGTAGGCAATTTAGTTACTTAGTGTTTTCCTCAGGATTGTTTGTGAAACTCAAGGAAAGTTATTTGCTTAAACTAATGCTGTAACCTTGTACAAGTGAGAGTATTTTCGTTTTAAAGCCACTTTCACATCTATTATCTTATTTTATCCTTACAACTCACGGGAGTAGGTGGGGTTGCTATCATTAGCCCATTTATAGATGAGAGAACTGAGGCAAGCCCGTTTAACTGGCCAGAACTGGTTTTCCCTGTAGATAAAATGGACGTGATGCTAACATTAGCTCATGCAGAATAAAACAGAGCCCTTTACAGTTTATAAAGGTATTTACATTCACTGATCTCATTTCAAGTAGGTAAAGCAGAGATTATTACCTTTGTTTTAGAAATAAAGGTACTGAATTTTAGAAAGATAAAAGATTTACTTAAAATTTGGGGCTAAGGAGATTCCTGAAGCCTTACTAGAATCCCAGGTGTCTTAATTTCTCAACCGAGAGTCTTTTCTTTAAGGTTTCACCCTCAAAGGCGCTCAGAAATTTCTGCTTCTTGACAGTGGTTTCAGAGTGATTTAGATTATCCTTACCTCTTTATTTAAAAAGACAGAGGAGAATAAGTTTTATCTTTTTTTCTTTTCTTATAGACTTGAAAAGGAACAACGTTGTTGCACCTTGTGTAACCGAAATGGAAGATTTGGGTTCATTATTTGTCAAGCAGTTATTTGTTACAAAAAAAGGAGCTTTAAGAACACACAAAACAGTAGTGTTACTATACTGCAGCCTCAATTCATGTCAGTATTGGTCCTTTTTTATAAGCAATAATCTTTTCTTTAGCTAGAAATTAGGGCAGTTAAGAGCTAACCTCATGATAATTGAGAAAGTTAATGTTCATTTTTTAAAAAAAGAGAATCTAGAATGGATGGAGGGACTTGCGAATGAAGATGTTGCAGCGTTTGTCCCTCGAACGGGTAAAACTGGACCGGCTGATAACTCAAAAGGAGACGGATGCTGCCACCTTGCGTCAGTGTAGAAAAATGCTGTGACTCCCAAGATTGGCGCGTCGTAACTGGGGATGGGGAGTGGTTGGAACGGGAATTCAGAACTTTTATATCAGACACGAAATAATAACACCCAACAGTTATTGGGATTTTCCTGAGCTGGGTGTGTGTCATTCACACAACAGGTGTCTACCCAGCACCTGCTGTGTACTAAACACTCTCCTGGGAGCTGGGGATGCGGCCGTGAACAGAGCAGGCAAAAGTTCCAGGCCTCATTGAGCCATTGGGCCTCTGATTATTGTGTATGTATGAATTCATTTAATATTCCGGACAACTCTGTGAGGAAGGCTTTCCCATTTTACAGGCGAGGTTACTGGGGCACCGAAAGGTTGAGTAACAGGTCTAAGACTCCGCGGCTACCAAGCAAGAGAGCCTGGATTCGAACCTGGGCAGTCTGACCAAGAGCCGCCAAGACTTTAATCACTAACATACGCATAAACTTCGTCCTCTGTGT